TCTGACAAGCACGATGCGTTCAACCGACTGCGTCGGCTCCGATAGACGGTAAATCGGATACAGCGGATGGTGGATGCGTGAAAGGCTTTTCGCAGGCGCAATCTCGCATTTAATTCGATTATTATAGTTCGGCATCTGTGTGTGTGTTTGTGTATAGGCACTGGATTAAGTAATTCAAACGTTGGATACGCGCCACGTCTCTACCGCGTTTCGTCGGCCGACGCTGCTTCTAGCGCACGACCCGACCACAGTTTTTCCATGAATTTCCCCGACGCTACGTGAAAATCTGTTTCTACGATTTTCCCCGTCGCTTTTCCCAACTGTCGGGCCGCCGCGTGAACGCGACGCCCGGTCCGATTGCCGATGCGCCGTACAGTTGCCACGGAGAAATAAAATCAACAGCCCTGACAGAGTCAGAGGTGCTATTGGCGTTGCGATTCCTCGGCTATCTTCCACTCCGCGCTGGAATTTCATTCGACGACCTTTTGTTCCAACTACCTTCGACCGTTGGAGTCGAGCAATTTTTCATACCCACCGCGTTAATTACCAACCGCGTTGGGAAAAGTTTAACATCGCCAAAAGTAACTCCGGTGCCAGCTGTTTTTCTCTCCTTTATTTCTCTTCTCCTCCTTCTCGTGCCGAACCTCGCCGTTCTTTATGCGCAATCACATCAACGAGGAAAAGTTACCGGCGGGGCCGGTAATTCGATATGAAAGCGATTCCTCGCGGTCGAATCGCTCCCGGTACATCGCGCAGAACGGAGCCGAACTTCGCCGGACGGGCTCGATTGTTTCACGGGCTGGCCGCCGTTGAAACCGAGGACGATTATGACCGTTAAACCGGGCCGTGGAAAAAAAAAAATCGTCGAATTATTTCTTTCAATGGCTATAATTCGCTCGGCTATAACTTTCCACCGGGTAATGACCGGTTCTCGCGGATTTTTCCCTCCACCCTCCGTTCTCCGAGAGTAAATTTCAATGACTCGTATTCCAGGATGCGACGGCATTAATTCCCCTCGGTAGCGACCGAAAATCTGCTCCAAGTGGCTGATACCGGTGATAATTACTTGGATTTTTCGCGCACGAATTGTGCCCGATAACGCCGGCCGATCTGGGTCGCTGGTACATGGCACGAGCGGCGCACGAGTGGATCCGAACACCGGAAGAATTATTGATTTCATATATCAATTTGTCTTTGTTCCGGCCACCGTCACTTCCAGCTTTAATTTAAATCGCGCTCGGCCCTTCTCTGATTTTTGTTTAATCCGGAAAGTCTACCGCCACGCCTTCGTAATGTTTCATCCATTAGTGTGAACCGGGCGGAGGCAGAATCGCCGAGTGTATGCAAAAATCTCGAAACGTTTAAGGGAATTGATTGGAGTTTACTCAAGGCGGATTGATTTAAGGCTTCTCAGTTGTGAAAAGCAGCGCGCGAGTTTCTCTCCGCCGAGTCGAATCTGAAGTCTTGCTTTTAAAAAGATTCGGTTTCTTTAAATAAGAGAACAGAAAGGGAGAAGAGTTTGCGAGATTTGATATTTCTCCGCGAGCTGCCGTTTATTTTCATCTGAGCAGAGCTGGCGGAGTCTCTCTCTCGAATATTTTTTTCCCCCCCTCTCCCTCCCCGCTCCGCCCCGAATATCTTTCTGACAAAGTTAAGAAGATTCCGTTGCGTAACGTTACAAAGACCCGAAAGAAGCGAGATCGCAGCGAGAGTTTAAAGCCATCTGCTTGTTGCACCCCTTTCGCATTTGCTCTTGACTCGTTATGTCACTTGAGAACCGTGCGCATTGAGTTACAGTTAACTTTAAGTTTCGCGGAACTTGCCATTCCGAAACTTCTGCAAAACCATCAAACGGACGCCTGCTATAGGCGGTTCAGAGGCAGCTTTCCCTCCGCAAAGAAACGCAAGGGATGGAAGGCCGTGCAAGCGCGTCTATTCTCTCCCCTTCGGTCTACTCTTTTCCCCCTGGACTCTCCGCGCTCCTCCGGCGAGTTGTGAGTCGAAGTTGTGCAGCTTCTTCAGCCGGAATATGTGAATCCAAAAGAAAGGAACACGCGAGCCTGGACGGTTCCATCGTGTTCCAGTTTCTTTCTTTTTCTCTATTTTTTTTTTTTTTCTCTTTCTTTTCCAACGAAATTCAATTATACTTTTAGCGCAAGGTCTGCGTTTCGTTTCTACCCCGATATCGGGGTATGCTTTCTCGAATTTCAGAGAAATAAAAACAAGACGCACCGTGTTTACGATTGTTTGACGGCTCGGTATCCCTCGCGCGAAGGAAAGCAGATTTCGAGTGCCAACCGGCGAAACTTCAACAATAATGTCATAACGCGTCCCTTAACTCGATGACCCGCTCGACATCAATTCCCGTGACCGAGGGCGCGTGGTGAAATTGCATCGCGCGCCGCTGCCGCCACGCCGTTGTAAAGTATGCAATTAACGCTTCGCGTGAGCGCATGAAAAATACATTTGCCCGTGGCCTATCAGACGGCGGTCATTCCGTCGGATCAACGAAACAATTCCCCGTTGGAAATGGGATCAGAAATGGCGAGTGGCAAGCCGACGGGCACACGGCCGAGCAGTGGAAATTCACCGGTCCTCGTAAAACTGTCAGTTTCTTTCGTCTTCTGTTGCGAAACTTCGAAAAGATTAATTAAAACCGGCGAAAAAATAGGCGGGAACCCCGGCGGAAAGAGGTGTGTCGGACGGGTAGCTAATCAACGTTGGAAACCCGGAATAAATCACGAAAGTCAGCCGTTTAAACGGTATAATTCGCGCTTCATGACGTCCACGGAATAATTAATCCCCTAATCGCGAAAGAGCGAGCCGCGAACTCGGGGAGATTGCAGGGCGCCGTTTAAAAAGCAATCTCGGCAGCCAAGCCGTACAGGAACCGTGAAAATTATTATGCGAGACCCCCACGGCCTTCCACCGAGGATGGAGGAAGCAGCACACCGGCGGTAGTTGTACTCGCTTCAACGAACGAGCCATGCTGTAAAAAAAAAAAGAAGGAGCAAGAAGAAAGAAGAGGAGAAGGGATGTCGAGGCTGCGCAGGGAAAGAAGGAAAGAAAGGCTGCCACGACGAAGATTCTAAAATATGAGAGCTATTAACCGTAGTTCCCTATGAACATTACCTTCCCTCATGTGTAAATAATGCAACCCCACCGATCCCGTCTTCCCCCACCCGTTGTTACTTTGCAGCCTCTCCAGCCCTGTACGTACCTGCGACCACCCTGTACGTGTAATCTGCAGGCTTGCACGCGGCCGTGCAACCTGCCGGCGCAGCTGCGGAACGAGAGTTTAAACGCATATTCACGGGATGTTCCCGAGGCATCGAGTCTCCGCCATCCCCCGCGCCAGAATCAGCCGCCGGAGGTTCTTTGTAAAAGCGCTGCACACAGGGCTAAGGGAAAGTTTCCCGGGGAGAAATTAATTTCGCTGCCTAATCGCCAGGATAATTAGCCTTGAGAGTTGTGTACCATCGACAAATTGGTGCAACTTACGGGGACGGTTTTAGTAGGTCATTCGGTTGTATCAGAACCTTGAACGTTCTAGACTCTAAGCGCGGTGGCCGCTCCGCAACCACGATCGAGTATTTCGAGCCTTGTACCTGTTTATCGAGCGAATACCGGATCGGAACGATTATCCTCGACAGTTGCGATTTCGTCAGAATCTGATATAAAACAATTCCTCGCGTGTCTCTTTTATAACCTCTTGCGCGTCGAGAACTTGTTTGCCCAAAATTGCAATATCTTCTCAGTTTCAAGTATATTCAAGTATAAGCCAAAACTAACAATAAATTTATTACTTCTCAATCATTTCTATCCAGTGATATCGTACCGACGAGTTCAAAAGGAAAAGAAAGCGACGAATTATTGTATACGGTTTGGTCACTCGTTATGGTACGCAATCAGTTGCCAGCGCAAGGTAGTTAATGTCGTGAAATCGTGTCCCCTTGGCGCGTAGATTCAGCTACCCGGCTTTCCACGGCGAAACCAAAGGCAGAAACCAAACATTCACGACCTCGGTGCGCCCGCACCAAGAGCGAACGTCGCTGTTCCAAATGAAAACGCGGATAACCGAGTGCATCGCGCGGCAATAAAAGGACAATGCGTAGGTAGCGGTTCACAATTTCAAAAAAGGGGAGGTTTGCTTGCCAGAGCGTCGAAATTTACGCGTCTACGTAACGCGTCTGCCACTACGCCGCGCTAAATTTCGTGCCTTTTAAGTCGAGCTTTAAACGACGGTTTAAAGGGTCGCCGGTTTAGCGATAAATTCGAATTCAACCAGGGTCACTGCCTCGGGTGGCCAGTTTATCTGCGAACAGGAGGACCCTCGTGACCATCGTACCTTCCAACTGACGCGTCAAAATAAACGCAGCACGCGTTGAAACATGCCTTTGAGAATTACAGGCGGGTGAGAAGATCTTTGTTTACCCGGCAAATGTTTTATGGAACATGGATCTCGTTTCTGGTCTCGATTTGAGTTTCGATCGTGGAATGGAACGGACCGCGGAACCGCGTAACCGCAGTCGATACTAGCCGCTTTCAGACACAACGATCGTTTAAATTCTTTGCAAGTGTCTCGGTCAAAACTTTTACGCGACAGTTGTTTCCGAGATCTTTTTAACCTTTACGTCCAACGTTCGTCCAAGGCTCGTCACAGACGAGTCACACGCTAATTACTTTTACATTTAAATTAGCAGTTTTTGCTTCGCGTTCCCGGCGAACATATTACCTTTTTGCAGCAGCCCACTTTAACGTAATACGCCTCTATACTCGTGCTTTCGGAAAAAAGTAGTCGAACAAAATATGTCGAGCAGAATTACGAGGCACTTTGCCGAGTGCGTATTAAGCTGTAATTTATGCGTTTCTGATCATTTTGCGTAACAGCTGGTCTAATATTTGTCGTCTGATCTCTCTGTCCATAAACGCGCGAAGCGTTTCGCATCTCTTTTCATTTCGAGAAATTCTCGCTGTTGGACATGAAGGGAACGACTTACGAATGATGAGTAGAATCGACGGATGCTCTTGGCCACCCTCGTATTTGCCGCTGAGAAACAGAAACCACTCCCATGGATCCACTCTGACCCCGTACCTACGGCAAAATAAAAGAGAAAGGCATGTAAACACTTGGGAAAGAAGAGAAGAAAGGAGGAATACCTCGTTCGTTATTATCACACCCCCCCCCCCTCCTCCCACTGTCATCCAAGCAATTTTATCTTCGAAGTCACGTGAAGCGTGAGCGTCTACATCGCGATACGGGTCGGGGAGCAAAGGCGTCGTTATTAACGATAGCGTCTGTCGGCACGCTCTTCACAGGTCCTTGGAAAAAAAAGAAGATGCGAAACGGCAAAGGGAGGGAAAAACGAGGAGGGGTAGGTCAGATAAAAAGTCACGGGACCCTTGATCTCTTTGTTCTTCAGATAAATAATAAACGTCGACGCGTGTTCGCCTTTAAAATTTGAAAAAGGCCACGGAGGAGGAGAGAAGAAAAAATGGAAAACGATCCTCTTCCCCTCTGTTCCAAGTCAACCCCTGTCGTCTAGTAATTTTGCAGGAGAAAGGAGGATTATGAAGAAATTTCTCTGTCTCTCTCTCTCTCTCTCTCTCTCTCCCTCGACCTGTAAATCATCGTTCGACTGTCTATTAAACATACTTTCACCCGAAAGAAAAACGACTCGCCAGTTCGCAGTACATCGAGCTTTACCCCCACCACCAATTTTTATAGCTCTGTATCGGCGAGATTTATCGCACGCCATCGTATCAATCCGAGTCATCAGAAACGTTTGTTGCACACGACCGCCGGCGATCACGGAAGACAAACGAACTACATTCGCGGTCGACTAACGAAGGAAGAAAAAAAAAAAAAAAAAATCAAGCCAAAAAGGGTAACCGACACTAATGGCTTCAGGTCGAACGCGTCGACTAACGATGATGAACGAGGCTTATAGCTGAAGTAATTAAAGTATTTGAAGTGGGCGCGGCCCGACACGGTGCTACGATATTTATTGGTACGCGATCGCTACCCTTTTCCCTTCTCTTTTTTTTTTCCTCTCTATGTACGTTCCCAGCCACCCCATCTTCCACATCCCCCTCTCTCCCGCCCCTCCTCCGTCTCGCCGCTTTTTGTGTCGTCACAAACGCAATCAGTCACGTTGACGCAGGCCACGATAATTGAAGAGCGAGCCGGAAAAATCAAACGTTTATAATTGATAGCTACCGTGCGTGCTCCGTGGCGAGTCAAAAGTGATTCGAAAGGGAACATCAATCCTCTTATATTACCGTCCGGCAAATCACTGCTCGTTTAGAATACCGCGTGTAGCTTCCTGCAGTTTTGTCGATTGAATTGTTAAACACTTTAACGCCGAACCATGGAGAGATAAAAAAAAAAAAAAAAAAAAAGAGAAGAAGAAGAAGAATCGATGCACGTCGCCGTTTATCCGGGATTGACCGTGGTAATACGAGTTAATTCCTTTCCACTATGTGAATGAAACATACAAAGCCGCGGTGGTAGCGGCACATCGGAAAGCGCTTTACCGACGCTGCGAAAGGAAGGACGACGCAACATTCAAGCCGGGTACGTATTTTGTTTTTCTCTTTTTTTTTTTTTTTACACCAGAGATA